GTTCCTCGTCTCTCCCTGGCTCCTCGTGTTTGGTTTTCCCCAGATGTCTCCTTAGTTCTGGTTTGCTTTTCATTATAAGTTGGATTTTTGGATTCCTGCCTTTGTTTACTGTTTTTGACCCATTAAAACTCCCAGAAATCTCCTCAGCCTCTCTGCCTCTGCGTTTGGGTCCTCAAACCTCAACTAACCCTGACACTTAGGGGTTGCTGTGAGAAATTTAGTGTCTTACTCTTGTTAAATGTAATGCGACAAAGATTGAGTGCCTCTGCAATTAATAAATGTAGTTTTTTTAAGTTATTATATCACAAATGCAATTAAATATGCAACACTAATGGATGCAAAGGAAAGTACCTCATGCCCACTATTAAGTACGGTGGAAGATCTGTGATTCTCTGGGCCTGCTTCCCATCCAAAGTGAATGATGACCTTTTCATACGGAAGAGGATTAGGGCCACTGAAAAAAAAAAAGTAAACAGATTTTTAAATTTCATTTCAGTTTAACATGGGAAAAAAGTCAGAATTCTGACTTTCCCCATACTATACTGAAATAAAATAAAGAAAATCAGTTAACTTTTTTTGTTTTTTTCCAGTGGCCCTAATCCTCTTCCGTATTTTCAGAATGAGTGAGATCATAAAATGTTTTTTTCATTAAATCATCTGTTTGATATTACAAAACGCACTGAAATTTAACAAACTTTGGGACTTTATAGCAATATTATAAACTGATTCATATTGAATAAAGATAGTTCTCAAAAAAAAAAAAATCTTGTGTTTATTTGAATTATTTTTGCACATCTCAGCAGGAGTGGTCTTGGTTAGATATGTACCGGTAAGTGGGTCCTGTCAGAATGACAGCATGCTTTTTTTTATCAAAAAACAAACAGAAATAAATTACTGTAGCATTAATGTTCAAACTTTATCAGTAAAACCCTGAAATATGTTCAGTAAAATTCTTGAAGGTTATTTTATTTCTTAACACCTGGAATTATAACGCTCTGATACTTGATCCATTTGATTAGACTAAATTTGATTTAATATTCTATGATATTATTTTCAAAATGTCAAATAATAATTCATTTTGATATTTATATTTTTGACTTATTATATTTAAAAGTTAAACATGACCTTTCCAGAGGCCTTTTACTTTTTAAATCGCTTCTTTTATCTCGATCATCTGCACACATAGACAAGCTTGACAGTTTCGGGAACGTACGTGCAGGAGAAACACAACCAGCACTCATCATTCACCAGTAACATTATTGCAAACAGCTATTTTTGATTGTG